GGGCGCGGCGGAGGGTAGGAGTAGCCGTTGGCTGTCAGCTTTCATGCACACCATGGCTGAGTGTCCTGTGTTCACCCCACCCCTGCCTCCCTCCCGCCCTCCTCTCCCCTCGGACTCAGAAATCAAACTTGATGACTCTCCTGTGAAAGGCTCCAAGAGTCAGGCAAAGGCCAAGGACAAGGTCAAGGCGCCCAAAGAGGACAAGAAGAAGAAGCAGCCGCCGCCGCCGGAGGCTCCGGAGAAGAAGAGCAAACAGAAAATTGACGAGCTGAAGGTGAGTGGGTGAGCGCCGGTCCCCGGCGCTGTACGGGCTCAGCCACTGGGACCCTAAGCCCAACTCTGCATACAATGGGGGCTCTGAATTAGGGTTACCACCCGAGACAGGGAGCTGGAACGTCGCAACGGTCCATCCAGCCCAGTGTCCTGTCTTCCCACAGCGGCCTCTGCCAGGTGCCCCAGAGGGAACAGGACGGGATCATCAAAAGATCCCTCCCGTCACCCATTCTGAGCCTCTGACAGAGGCCCCAGACACCATGCCTACCCATCCTGGCTAATAGCCATCAATGGACCTGACCTCCATGGATTTCTTTAGCTCTGATTTGAACCCTGTTGAAATCCAGGTCTTCACAACATCCTCTGGCGAGGAGTTCCACAGGTTGACTGTGGGCTGCACGAGGAAAAACTCCCTTTGGTTTGTTTTAAACTTCCTTCCTATTCATTTCACTGGGTGACCCTGAGATCTTATGTTATGGGAACAAGTCAACAACTTTCCCTTATTTACTTTTTCCACAGCAGGCATGATTTTATAGACCTCTCTCCTCCCCCCTCCCCCCTTCGTCTCCTCTTTTCTAAACTGTAAAAAATCCCCGGCTTTTTAATCTCTCCTCATGTGGGACCCGTTCCCAACCCCTCTTCATTTTGGTTGTCCTTTTCTGAACTTTCTCCGATGCTGGGGTATCTTTTTTGAGGTGAGGCGAGCGACCACAGCTGAACTTGCAGTCAGCATCGATAACACCGTGAGAACATCCACTCACAAAGGCCCAGGGAAGGCTGGGAACTGTTCGGAAAATAAGACAGACTCAATAGAAAAGCACTCCGAGCCTACGCCGTGGATGCTGCGTGCGGTTCTGGTCCCCCCACCTCAAAAAGGATGGAAAGGGGCACTCTGAGCCTACGTCGTGGATGCTGCATGCGGTTCCGTTCCCCCCACCTCAAAAAGGATGGAAAGGGACTGGGACAGGCCCAGAGAAGGGCGGTGAAGATGCTCAAGGGGATGGAACGGCCCCCTGACCAGGAGAGACTGCAAAGCTCAGGGCTGCTCCACTTAGAAATCGACCAAGGGGGCGCAGGAGTGAGGCTATAAAACAGCAAGTGACACGGGAAAGGAGACTAGTGAAGCGCTATTTGTCCATTCCCACAATACAAAAACGGCAAGTGACAGGCAAGGAGACTAGAGAAGCGCTATTTGTCCATTCCCACAATACAAAACCCCAGTGTCACCGAATGGAATTAACAGGCAGCCTGTTTGATAGAGCTCTTTTCCCATGTGATGCGCTGTTAACCGGTGGAACTCACCGCCAGGGGATTTTGTGGAGGGCCAAAGGATAACCGGGTGCAAGGAAGAACTAGACACATCCACGGAGGATCGATCCATCAATGCAGCCCCACCCCTAAGCCTCTGGGAGTACAAGACGGAGGCGGATCACTCTGTAACAGCTGTTCTGCACACACCCCGGGGAGCTTTGGTACAGGCCACAGCCAGGGCCAGGCCACGGGGCTAGACGGACCACGGCGTGTCTGACCCGCTACGGCAGCTCTTAAGTTCTTAGGCCTGGAAGGGGCTCAGATACGGGGGGAGGAGGCCCAGTGGCCGTTGCCCCGGGGGTATCTCTTGTGACAGGAGCGGGTCATGGGAAACCAAGGGGAGTTTCCACGCAGGGCGTGGCCCGGGCCTCAGACCGGCTCCCAAGGGAGCGGGTGCAAACGACGTTGCTTGGGTGGCACAGGAGCCACGCAGTCGGGCAGCCAAGCCCCTGCGGCCCAAGCCTCTGCCCCCACGGGCCCCCG